ATTTAATGTCTTGCAGAAAATAGTTGAGAATGGAGTTTGATGATGGTGGTTCTTTGGCGCCACCTTGTGGCAAAACTCTGAACTGCTGCTTGCACACTAAGGAACTGGAAAATGGGAGGGATGGGCTGTGACACAACCCCACCACATAAAACTTTCTGCAGTTTGAAATGGAAAGTGGGGAATTCCTTGACTAATCCCTATTGGTGGGCTTTCTCTGGATACTGCATATAATTGGAATCATTTTTATAGACAAATATAGACATATTTGTGGTCTTTTGCATTTTGACTCCTTTCACTCAACTTACTATTTTCAAAGTTCATCCATTGTATTTTTATTGATTTACTTATGTATTTATGTATTTATGTATGTATGTATGTATGTATTTTACACTGTGCCGGCAATTCTTGAGAGTGGAGTTTGATGATGGTGGTTCTTTGGCGCCACCTTGTGGCAAAAACCTGAACTTCTGCTTGCAAACAAAGGAACGGGAAAATGGGAGGGATGATCTGTGACACAACCCCACCACACAGAACTTTGTGAAGGTCAAAACGGAAAGTTGGGAATTCCATATTGGTGGGATCTCTCTGGACAGTACATATAAGTGGAATCATACAATATGTGGTGTTTTGCATTTTTGTCTCCTTTCACTTAGCTGAATATTTTCAAGGTACATTGATTTTATTTATTCATTTATTTATTTATTTATTTTGTACTTATTTATTTATATATTATACAGCATGCAAAAAATACTTGAGTGGAGTTTGATGATGTTGGGTCTCTTGCGCCACCTTGTGGCAAAAGCCTGAACTGCTGCTTGAACACTAAGGAACAGGAAAATGGGAGGGATGGTCTGTGACACAAACCCACCACATAAATCTTTCTGGAGTTCAAAATGGAAAGTGGGGAATTCCATGACTAAAGCATATTGGAGGGCTCATTCTAGACATGGCGTATAAATGGAATGATTTTTATATACAAATACAGACATATTGTGCTCTTTTGCATTTTTAACTCCTTTTACATCACTTCCTTTTTAAGGTTCATCCATTATACATTTATTTATTGAATGATTGTTTCATTCATTCATTCATTCATTTACTTCCATGCTTATTTACTTATTAATATACTTATTAATTTACTTATTTATTTATATATTATACAACTTGCAGAATTCTTGAAAGTGGAGTTTTATGATGGTGGTTCTTTGTTGCCACCTTGTGGCTACAGTCTGAACTGCTGCTTGAATCCTAAGTAACATCAAAATGGGAGGGATGGTCTGTGACACAAACCCACCAAAGAGAACTTTCTCAGGTTAAAATGGAAAGTGGGGAATTCCTTGACTAAACCATATTCGTGTGCTTTCTCTGGACACTACATATAAGTGGAATCACACAATATCTGGTCTTTTGTATTTGTGACTCCTTTCCATTAGCTGAATACTTTCAAGGTTCATCCATTTTATTTGTTTATTTATTTATTTAATTTTTACTTCTTTATTTATATATTATACACCTTGCAAAAAATACTTGAGAGTGGAGTTTGATGATGGTGGTCCTTTGCGCCACCTTGTGGCAAGATCCTGAACTGCTGCTTGAACACTAAGGAACGGGAAAATGGGAGGGATGGTCTGTGACACAACCCCACCACACAGAACTTCCTGGAGGTCAACCTGGAAAGTGAGCAATTCCTTGACTAAACCATATTGGTGGACTCTCTCTGGACCCTACACATAAATGGAATCATATTTGTAGACAAATATAGACATTTTTATGATCTGTTGCATTTTTTACTTCTTTCACTTAGTCTATATTTTCAAGGTTCAACCATTTTATTTATTTAGTTAGTTAGTTACTTACTTTCTAGCTTTCTTACTTACCCATTTACTGCTTCATTCATTCATTCATTCATTCATTCATTCATTTATAATTGTGTATTTTACACCTTGCAGAAAGAGTTGAAAATGGAGTTTGATGATGGTGGTTCTTTGGCGCCACCTTTTGCCAAAAGTCTGAACTGCTACTTGAACCCTAAGGAAGAGGAAAATGGGAGGGATGCTCTGTGACACAAACCACCCGCATAAATCTTTCTGGAGTTCAAAATGGAAAGTGGGGAATTCTGTGACTAAACTGTATTGGTGAGCTTTCTCTAGATAATGCATATAATTAGAATCATTTTTATAGACAAGTATAGACATATTGCAGTCTATAGCATTTTTGACTCCTTTCTGTTAGCTTACTATTTTCAAGGTTCATCCATTGTATTTTTATTTACTTATGTATTTATATACTTATGTATGTATGTATGTATTTTACACTTTGCAGGCAATTATTAAGAGTAGAGTTGATGATGGTGGTTCTTTGGTGCCACCTGTGCAAAAGCCTGAACTGCTACTTGAACACTAGAACAGGAAAGTGGGAAGGATTGTTTGTGACACAAATCCACCAGAATGAACTTTCTCAGGCTAAAATGGAAAGTGGGGAATTCCTTGACTAAAGCATATTGGAGGGCTCATTCTAGACATGGATATGAATGGAATCATTTTTAAATACAAATACAGACATATTTGTGGTCTTTTGCATTTTTGACTCCTTTCACTTAGCTTGCTATTTTTAAGGTTCATCCATGCTACTTTTATTGATTGATTGATTCATTCATTCATTTACTTAGATACTAATTTACTTACTAATATACTTATTTACTTATTTATTTATATATTATACAGCTTGCAAAATTCTTGAAAGTGAGGTTTGACGATGTGGTTCTTTGGCGCCACCTTGTGGCTACATTCTGAACTTCTGCTTGAATCCTAAGTAACCGGAAAATGGGAGGGATGGTCTGTGACACAAACCCACCAGCCAGAACTTCCTCATGTTAAAATGGAAAGTGGGGAATTCCTTGACTAAACCATATTGGTGCACTCCCTCTGGACACTACATATAAGTGGAATCATACAATATCTTGTCTTTTGCATTTTTGACTCCTTTCCATTAGCTGAATACTTTCAAGGTTCATCCATTTAATTAATTAACTTATTTATTTATTTATTTATT